TGTGTTTTCTTTTATGATTCGGTGTCATTTTGTCGCTTTCTATTTTGAAAACCAGCAGCACAAGCTGTTGTTAGAGCAAAAGATGCATTTCACAGCGTGGCACAAACACTCCTCTTGATGGTAGGAGAAGCCAGTCTGAAGTCAAATTCAGTGGATCTACTTCTTAAGGAGAAATTCAGTCATCTGGAATTTAAGGAAGACCTTCAAATTGTACCACTAATTCCATTTTTTAAGTGTCAATGAGGGAAGAACAAACATCTGAATCCTGAGTGACCTGTTTCAGCCCCAGGTACCCCCGTGGCACCTTTCTGCAGCCCCGTCCACCTCTTGCACATTCATCTGGAGTCAAAGAGGAGAAAATCCTGGCTGTCACCAGCCGGCACCAAGGCACCAGCTGAGCAGGCAGCCACTTGGTCTCCCCCTTCTGATCCTTCTCCTCTTATTTTGATGTTATCTGCCAGCTCGGGGGTTAAATATTCTGCTTGCTGTTCATTCTGCACATGCCGTTATCAGCTTGCCATGCGTCTGCTAGAGAGCCTGCTTCTGGTAAGCTGTTTTATCATTAAACTTAGTGCCCCCTAAAAGGTGCTGGGGAAGACCCACCTCGGTCCTTTATAGCCCACCCAAAATTAGGCAAGTGTGGAAATTAGGCAAGCAGGGGAAAGAAAGAAAGTGAGAATGTATTTTTCACTTTTAGGTTGTTACAGATGCCTCAAAACCAATCCCAAAACTTAATGAATTAGAAAGTGTAATTGTTGCATAAGCTAACTTCAAAACAGTACTGCTCATTAAAGATTAAGGAAAAGAAAAAGAACAAAGGGTTCAGACCTTTTATTCAAATGTTGCCGTAATAGCTCCTCGCTGGCAATCTTTTTATGGTTCCCATTGATTCAATCCTTCACTCACAGATTTCTGTCAAGGCTCGCTAATATGTGCCAAGGACAAGCTTCATTAACCGAGTTATCCTTCAGCTCTGCTTCATCTGTGGTTACCAAGCCGCTGGTAGGCAATGACATTTTAATGGTCAAACAAACAAACAAACAAACAAGCGAGCGACATAATAGCGCCTTGATTTCTTTGGGTGTTTTTCAGATCGGATTTGCAGTGTTTCATTACATTTGAATACTGGCATCCTTCATCTCTGACACACTTGGGAGACCCATTAGAGAAGAGGAAGCTTACAGGGGGGCTCATTAAGCTCTGAGCTGTTCAGAATTTTTCGGTGGCAGCCGATCTTCTGGAGAAACTGAGCTCTGTCCCTGGGACCCTGCATCACTGGCACATGGCATCAAGGGGTGTGAGGACCCCTTTACTACTTACAGATCCCTTTGGGGTCTTTCAAGGCACAAATCCTCCCAGGGACTGGGTTGCATGGCTCTGTTCGAATTTGTTCACTCATTTATTTATATTTCTCTATGCTTTGTTAGCTTACCTGCTCTTTCTGAATAATATACATCAGGTCTTCCATGGGGATGCCAACAGCAAGTAAGAGTCTCGATATCCTGATAAAATCCATGGTGTTTTGGAAACCAAAGAGGAAAACTGCAAGAATGGAAGTGTAGAAAATTATCTGGTTTTAAGGGAGCCAGGATAACTGCCGAGCAGTCATGGTTTGCTATCTCATCCTTGATTTTAAAATGTCTGAGGAAATCTAATACAATTTGGGCAGAAGCCACAAAGTCTGGCTTCTCTAGAAAGCATTCTGAGTTTCTGTGGTTTTCTCGTCCCGATAAAGGTTTGCTGTTAGACGTAGAAGGCTTTATCTGACTTCCCCTCTCCCCTTCCTACGCAATGGGATCTGAGAAATGCAGTGCTGCCTAAGCAGCTGTAATAGGATAACGAGAGCATCTTCCCAGTGCTGGGAGATAAGAGAAGCACTGCAGCCAGCATGAAGGTTCTCCGTCCTGCATGGAAACCACACACTTTATTATCACTCAAAAACTGTGGGACGAATTAAAGAGGGGATGTTTAAACAAAGGGGCAGTTGCAATTTTTAGGAAATCAAGGATGAATGCACTTTGTGGGATTCCCTTATTGACTGCAAAGCCAATGGGATCGTTGGTGACCACACAGGGTAAGAACCTTGATAGTTTTGTCGCACCTACGAAATCCTGCATGGCTGCAGTGTTTTTGGGGAGGAAGATTTTATAGCTCGTGCTTCCATCCGCACCTCTTTTCTCATGTTCCTCAGCTTGAAAAGAAGAAAAAAAAAAAAAAAGAAGGTTGTAAGGCAAGGGAGATAGCTGCTAATCCAAGTCGAGGTATATTAAATGTAGCGATGCTTTGACATGACATAAGTGTTCAGAATTTGTATATGAATAAAATTAAGAATATTCTGGGAGGAAAAGCAACCTACCTGTCAGAAAAAAAGAAATATAAGCTATAAAATCCTATGAAAAATCACGGACCGGAGCAAGATAGATGTGCTGTCTTTACTTAGCAGAGAAATCACCGAGGGTATGCAAATAGAGCACGAAAATGACACATTTTCACTTGATTCAAAAGCATTATCCATAATAGCATCTGCAATGTGTCTGCAGTAATAGGGAGCAAATTGGGATTTACAGAGCAGATGGGGGGAAATGGGCTCTGACTCAGTCTGAAAGCGGTGTCCCCGGCAGTAGAAGTCCAACGATAGTGGGAGAACATCACAAAACGCCCACTGCCTTTTCCAGGATTCACCCGTTTGCCCACAGCATTCATCTCAGCCGTGATGAAAGCGTGAACAACTGGACTTGTCTACTTTTTGGGCTGTTGCTCCTGATTAGACGAGGCATTTTTCCTGGGATGAATTAAGTTCTCATGAAAGGTGAGAGATTGACAGCCCCAGAAACTGGAAATCCTCTGCTCACGTCCATCTCCCTCCACCTGGGATTAATAAGCTGCTCCTATCTGCCCTGTCCTGCTCCCCAGGCTGCAGCTCACACTGCGTGCTCTCTCCCTTTTCCTCCCTTTTCCTTTTTTCCCTCTTTTTCCTCCCTTCCTTCTGTCTCACACAGCGGCTTAGCCAACAGCCATAGCTGCTGCCTCTCGAGGGGGAAAATGAGTCACTGCCGTAAGGAAGCCAGCAGCAGGATTCCCCACGGTTGTTTTTACCACCTCTGTGCTCATTTAGGCTCCGTTTAAGCAACAGTCGGCGATAACATCCAGGGCAAGGGCGGTTGGATGCCTTGGTTCGTGTGGTGCTGCAGAACTGCTGTCAGACCTGGTTCAGTCCCGATATTCCTCATCTGTACTGGCCGTGGTGGCTGCTTTTCCCTTACTTTTAGTGTGCTGGCTGCTGGACAGAATTTGGCAGGGCTTGCTGGCCGTGGATCAGAGGCCAAGATGGCATGTTCAATGCTGGGTGAGCTTTGCTGAGCCAGACCTTTGAATTCCTGGGAAGAATTTGTCTGTCCAAATGTAGGCTTCTCTTTGAGCTGATTACCGTCTGTTGTCATTGATACACAACAGGGTGAACAGCACTTGTAAGATATCCTATGACCTTCTCCAGGTTATAGGGTATCATGGATCCTAGAAGCATTCATTTCTCCCTGTGAAATCCGTAACCCCATTCCCATGTCTATCTTAAACAGGCCAAAGGTAGACATGTGTTTTCCATGTAACTACATGTAGATAACAGAATGGCATCTCCATAATTAATATTTTCTATTGTTTTGCTAGACTATACCTAAATCACCCTCAGGTTTTGGTTTCATCAGCCATAGCTAATGACAAGACAGTTTGAGTCGACATAGGGTGAGGAGAAAAGGGATGGGATGCATCTCTCACACCTTTAAATCTTCTCTTATGTGTCCAAATATTCAAGAGGCTACAGAGATTTTGTAAATGCTTTCCCCTGAATCCAAGATTTAGATCCTAATCCAGATTTCATAGGTGTCGTTAAATGCCATGGTAATTTTGATACCATTCATTGTAATTTAGGACCGTGTACAGTTCATTCAATCCTGAGCTTTCTAATTAGAGAGTAAATGAGTGTTAGTTTTTCGTGAAGTGTGGCTGGTAAGTATCAGATGGATACTTTTTTTTCCCCAGATAAAGCATCAGATAAGTGTTGTGTATCACTAACTTACAGTCATAAAACCACTAATGTCAGAGAGGAGCAAGTTTCTGTATCCCATCTCCTGAGCTGTCTATCTCCCTCGAGTTCCATCAAACATTTTAGTTTGTCTTCATTTCCAGAAAACACGTAGAAATGGTTAGTCACTAAACTAAAAACACCGATATAATCAGCACCAGGTTGGTCTTCTCTAAGCATTTGCCTTCCTTAATCTCCCTCCCTCAGACTCCTGGCTAACAACAATAGGATCTGGAGTTTTATTCGAGCAGCTCTATCACTGATAACCACAGCTATTCTTTACATCTTTCTTCACTATACGTTGTTTCATTTTCCTGACACCTCTGTTTTCATGCCGTATGCATTTTTTACTCAGTTTGAGCACGTATCTAACAATACAAACTATTGGATTTTGTTAAATTGTATGATCCTGACACAGTTTTATGGCCTTCCCTAAACTCAGTCTATGATTAAACGTATTCTCAGTCCTCGTCTTGGCTTAACTATTGAAAGTTCTCGGGGAAAACAGGCAGAACAAACTTCACTGGGAGCTGTATATCCATCATAAAACTGCTCTTAAGTGTTATCTATCCAGCCTGGTTGTATTTTTCATGCTTTATCACAAATCAGTGTCACAGATAGATTGCAGTTTGCAACCTGCAGTTGTTCATCGGAGTTAACTTGGCTGTCAGGACAGCCTTTTTGCAGCGCTTTAAGCTTTCATAACTTTCTTGCATGAAACCGAAGTATTTCTCCAGCCAGCCAGTGGATCAATGCATGTGTCATTAGGACATATGGAGCAAGTCGAAGTTAGCCTTTTGAGTTTGATTTAGGATATGTGGCATCCCAGCCTGTCTACATTTTAGAAGTGCCTGCACGGAAAGGAGTCTGGTATGGAGTAACTCAGATCATGGACCTTAAAAATATTTCACTTCTGTTTTAGATCATCCTCCAAATCTTCAAAACCATTCGAGACTCAGAACTCCACCGCCTCCGATATCCCATGCTCACACCCCAAATCAACATCACGCTGCCTCCATCAATTCCCTGAACAGAGGGAACTTCACTCCTCGCAGCAACCCGAGCCCAGCTCCCACAGACCACTCTCTTTCTGGAGAACAACCAGCCAGCACTCAAGAACCAGCCCATGCTCAGGACAACTGGTTACTTAACAGCAACATCCCACTGGAGACTAGGTAAGTCACTGTCTTTAGTACTTTACAGTGCTCTGCCTGCGTGTGCTGAGGATGTTATGAACATATGTGCATCTGTATAGGTAGCTGTTTGGTTTGTGAGCTGGTCTTTAGATGATATATTTTGAGTTCTGTTTATTATTCCTTGTGTCTTTTTTATTTGGACTAGGAGAAGAGGAAATTGCTCTTCTTTCATAAACTAAAAGTATTATATTTTAACAGCTGCTTGTAAGGTTTTTTTTTTCCTCATTTAAAATTGGAATCAGGATCACAGATTAAAATGTTCTTCTTTTTTTTTTTAATTTTCCCTTAATATTTTTTCTTCCTGTGTCATAGGATAAATCAATATCCTATTTAAGAAACCGAAATCAGTCAATATATTGAAAAGATTTAGCCTTCTAGCTGTGCCTCATCAAGCAGATGCTCTTGTAGTACGTCATTTAGGAAAGGATGATCTTGTTTTACCTACTGAGGAGAAGTCAGCTGCTGCATTTTACTACTCTACAACACTTCTCCAGCAAGCAAACAACACTGGGTAGCAACACATTAGTCAATTAATGATGCTTCCATTTAGCTTTTAAATACTTCACCACCTATGCAACATACCAAGGGTGTGGGAAGAGTGCACTGAGTTTATCTAGTTGATAGCTTTGATTAGGCTTTTTTTCCTGATAGGTAGGTTCTGGAAAGGGGAGTTGTCATTCCCCCACAGCTTCAGTCTTTCCATCTGATCAGGAGGGCATCTTCCAGTAGTCCCACTTGAAACTCTGTTTTCACATTCTCCGGAGGTTTTGCTTCATCATTTCCTTTGGTACAGAGAAGCCCCTGGAGATGCTGGATCTTTTAGCCCCATACACAGTGTCCTCTTCAGTCTGGGGAGGTCTTCTAGGCCAAACATTGCACATTGACTTAGCTGCCTTTTTGCCTTGTTTGACTTGCCTTCTCAAACCAACAAGAAAGATTTTAGGCAGCAAAAACTGACTGAAAACCGAGCCAAGGACCAAAGCTGTTGCTTCACTGCCTGTGGGAATCTCATCGAGATCAGTGGTGGCTGTGTCTGTATCCTGGGACAAGCTGTGCCCAGTTTTGCCAACTTCTGCTAAGAAAATATTTTTTAAAAATTAATGACTGTCGATTTCCTAGAGAAGTAGCTGTATCTGCTGGCCCCCTGAAACTTCCAAAACAGACCTCAATCTAACATTTTATGGCATTTAAGGATAATTAATTTCTCGGCAACTGCTTGATTAAAAAGACCGAACTAAGAAGCTGGCTCCACAAGATTAAGACAAAATTATAAGCAATTACTGCGAGTGTGATTTGGCAACAATTTCAGTAATTATATTGTCTTCCTAATTCTTGAGCATACATACCCAAGGCCTGACTTTCATGTATTGTTTCTTTTGAAAAAAGTATTGCAGCCCTTAGTTGAGTAATCTTTTACATTTCTGCAGCATCCCTCATACCTTTTTCTAAACCAGGATGTAAATTTGTCAGAGAAGAGATATTTCACTGTTTGAATAGTGCCAAGACATCCTCATATCTGACCAGAGTCTCTCCGAACACATCACATTCCATTGAGAGGGAATATCTTGACTGCTGGAGGAATGTCAGAGATAAAAACTCTTTTATGAAAACATCCTGCCACCAATTGTCCACTTCTGGTGTTGATGAGAGGATGAGATGGAGGAACAACCCTACCACGTATTAATAAATGCAGGAGATTGTAGACAGAACAATTATCTGGCTAGTCCTCAACAATACATGTTAAATTATAAACAAGTACATCCTTAAAGACTGTCCTTATTTCTTCCCCATGAAAACATTGGGGATGAACATTTTTCAGGAGCTGAAGCAGACCGTTCTTTCAGCAAGTTGGGTTGTCATTATCTCTGTTATTATCCCTAACCCAACTAGACTTCGGAGGTCTACTTGCATGAAGAGATCCTTCTGCATCATTTAAGGATTTCACTCGCATCACAAATCACTCATATTTGTAATTGACCCTCAATTTAACTATTATATTAAGTAGAAAACAGGTCATTTAGAGACCGATGTGGCTTTTGACACACTGGATGGAAGGGCGTAATGTAGCCCAGTATCCCTTCAGATGACGAACATGTTGGAAAAGTATGCTGAACTGCAAATGAGCACATTCACAGAGCATGACAGGCTTTTTTTTCCTTCACTAAACAAACATTAAGAAAATAAAGCATGCTATAATTTTGTCATAATGCAGAGGCTGCGCTGCATAGATGACTGGTAAATCTGAGACAAATCTCTGCTCTAATAATCTTCTTTTCCGACGTGCGGAGATCTTCCATTTCCTTTGGTGGGATGTCTGCAGATGTAAAAGGCCAAGCTTCTGTTTGGCAAACTTGGATGCCCCGTTTCACCTCTTTCATGAAGCTGACCTTCCCCACTGCAAAGACTTTTAGAACCAAAATAAGAAGAAAAAAAAAAAAAAGACTTCCACCTAAGAGAATAAAATGTCCAATATGTAAGAAATAAATCCTGACCAAGAGACATTAATCCAAGAATTAAGGCCTTTGAAGTATAGCAATAGGAGATTATAGTAATCTCATGTCAAAAATGGAATTGTATTTCTGTTGAATATCCCTTTTTTTTTTTTTTTGAATTCCATATTAGTCAACAGAGAGAGCAAACACGAAGAAAAAGCCACGTCTTTTAAACAGAGTTTGTCACAGGCTGTGAAACGTGCCTACAGTTACAGATTTTTAAGCACCCCAGAGTTTGAAGAGGCTTGACTTTGACTGTTGTGGACTGCAGGCAGTTTTCAGAACTGGAAAATTAGGGTGGTTTGTCACTGCCTGGAAATTTCCATCATGTAACGCAAACGCAAGCAGAGATGTGTAGTACAAGTATACAACTGACACGATAACCATACCCTATATCCGAAAACTTTATGTTGCTAGAGGAAGAGCCCCTCCTCTTCTCTCCCTCCTCTTCTTTAGTTTCCCTTTACTCCCTTTTCTCTGTTTCTCCTTCTTCCTCTTTCTTTTCCTGTCTGCTCCCTTTTTTGTTGCTTTAAAAGCAATATATTATCAAGGTTGTGATGAGAAGATCTTTGCTCAGCACTCCCTCCTGACAGGTAAGTCAGTTCTCCCCGTATTTATTTCTCGCTCTTCCTTCTTCTGTGGCATCCTTTCTGTTCCTTTACATCTGACCTTGCAAGGAGCAAATAAATGCCAACTAGACGGACGTTTGGTTGACAAACCAACAGCTTGCAGGGGACTTCCATTCCCAGGAAATTTCACGTGGCAATCACGTAAGGTCAGCTCCTGCCACCACAACTCATAGTGAGAAGGGAGAGTGGTTTGTAAACAGGCAGCTCTTCACAGGTCATCTCCAAAGGAGCAGCATTTGTGCAGCCCTCGGTGAGGACAGTCATGCATTAGTCCCATCAGTGACCCAGCCGCCTCGCTGTTACACATCCACACATTATACAATTATGTAACCCTCACCCCTTCCGCTTTATTGACAATCCGCAACCGAAATTCATGGACCCAATCTGACATGGATTTTAACTTCTGATCAACTCCTATTGATCAGCGTGTCCCTAGGTGCCTTGCCTCTTACCCATTAAACGCTCGGTGCATGCGCATCCGCTGCTTCCTTTTGTGTTGAATTCAACATCCAACCTTTCCTGCATTCCTAGGGAATGTGAGGAAGCAGCAAACGCTTGGGGATGTCTCGAGTGCTATGGCACACAGCTCATGCATGTCAGTCCACTTTACTCCGAAGCTAGGAATAGGAGTCACTTTACTTTCATTCACATTAAGGAGTAGATCCGTGCTGTCAAAGCAGCCCAGAGGCCTCCAGAAGCAGTGGGTTGAACAAAACAAGTGCTGGCATTAGCAGCAGGAAGAGGAGGAGGTAGAAATGAATATGAAGGTTAAGGACATTTCAGAAGAGACGGTATCAAGGTTTGTATAATGTGACAGGGCTGGTTTCCCTTGGTATAGCACATTACCCGAATCCAGTTTCTTTGACAGAGGAGTTCTCGTTTGAGTTCACATCATGTCACTTACATCCTGTAAGCGCTTAATCCTGCATAAGTGATAAAATGTCACAATGCTGTTACGTTCCTTTTGCTAGTTTTGGCCAGGGGATTTATTCACATTCAGGCTTAGATTCAGTTCTGATGCTGAAAACAGGCATGGGCAAAATCAGGACTGGTTTTTGTTTTAAAGACGATGGGAAGAATGTTCTTTTGTCAGGTCCTGAGAACCAAGCCTGAAGGTGAGAAAGACACAATCTGTTCCCAGCTGTGCCTCTGACTTAATTCTTTGTGTTCCTGCTATTCTCCTCTAAAAGTACAAAACAGTTCAGTATATATAGGTCGAAATGTGAATCATCGGAGTACGTGCCGGGGAGGCCAGATATTGCAAAATACCATTATTGTGTGCAAAATCAAACCCAGGCTTTTTCACCTGCGGGACCTGTATATCTCACCTATTGCCTGGATTATCCAGGTTACAGCCAGTATTCTGCTATTGGAATTTGGGTTGCAGCATAAGCTTTTTCCAACTTCTACCTGCTTATCACCAAAAGCCTTTTTTTTTTTTTTTTTTTTATTCTGAATGCTCCTGCTAAGCAAAACCTGCATTTGGAAACTTCTAAATACGAAGCTCTCATTGGTCCACAGAGAAAAACAAATTCATCAAGTTAGTAATGAAAGAGTTCTCAAATGCAAAACTGAAACTTAAGCAAAAAGAAAAAAAAAAGTGGCAGATTTTTACTGGAGATCCATGAGGATGTTGGATTGAGCAGTGCTACCAAGGTATCAGCCACAATGAGACAGAGACTGTGGTGTGCCTTTTCAGAGTAACAATAACTCAGATGCAGGAGCATAACAAGGTTACAGCCGTGCTGGATTGAAATCTAGTTTTCTGAATCCAGCACTTCAGAAGGTTGCATGTGTCACTGGCAATAAATAATGTGAAATGAACAAAGACAACTTTTTTTTATACACGCACATGGGCGTGTGCTTATGTGTGTGTATATGCATATAAATGCTGTGTATAGAGAGAAGTGAACATTCTGAGAAGCTATATATGTATATGTGTAGCATCTTATACATATAAATATATGGTCCATCATTCTAATTCCATGCACAACTGCACTATAACCATTGTGGTTTATAAGATCACACTTCATATATGCATGACTCACTGGCTTCATTCATGTTTCCATATGTATGTAGAAACATAGCAAAGCAGACATTCCTAGAGACATTGCAGGACAACCTCATTGAGATGGACATTCTCACCTCCTCCCGACATGACGGTGCTTACAATGATGGGTATGTGACACTTACGTGGTCTTCCTGTTTACTGTACAGTCATCATGATCCTTGCATGAAAGCATTTGGTCACATCCATGATGTTTAAGGGCAACACCATTGCTGGCCTCTTCCAAAATGGCTTAAAAAAATGAGGTTCTGGAGCAATGTGTCCTGTACATATTAATGGCAGGCTCATTAATATGCTAGTGATCCACAGCATTCCATTTGCTTTTTTTTCCCCTTGTTTTGAAAGTCATTGCATTAGTAAGAAGTACCTACAGCAATTCCGAGTCCCATATAAACCCAGATTAATTTAATTTTGATAATGATCTTAAACCGTTATTGTGCTGGCAGCCTGATCTTTCATTGTTAAGCTGGTATTTTTCATGTGCCTTATCATACAAAAGGTACAGAGTGTCTACTAGTGGTATCTAAACTGAGCCTTTGATTTTGACTCAGCCGCCCATTCTGACATTTTTACTTAACTTTTAATCTCTTAACTTTTAAGTTATAAACAGCTTTTAACATGACAGTGCCAAAAATGTCACTCTTGTAGTGGGACTTTCTAATTTGGTAGCCGCCTTTAACTGAAGATCTAATTGATGTGCTCGAACACTGCAGGTACCTCTTTGCTCAGACCAGATACATCTCCCTAAACAAATACTTCCTGAAGCACAGAAAAGTATCTGAGTCCTTGTCCAAATGAATGTTTTGATGTAGAGCATTAGTAGAAATAATGAATCTTTCTCTAATGCTCAGCAGCCATGCTTTGAGTACCCATAAAACCATGGCTGTAATAGTACAAACACCTGTTTCGCAGAATTATATGTCACTTTATCCCGCACAAATCCGTGGCTTTTCTGCATGGTGATGTTTCTGCATGTGACATTTCTCCCCGTGACTGCACGAGTGACTTCAAGGGGAAAAGAGAGTCACGTCTGGTATAATCCACTGGCTCGACTGACTCCCTCGGATCCATGCTGATTTGATTTATGCTGGCTGCAAGTCCGGCCCCATAAACCACAGCAGAAGGTGCAAACTGTACGGGGGGCTGCTTCTCAGTCCTCACAAGCAGCATTTGTGTTCGACATCAGCATGGTGAGAGGAGAGTCGGATCCCTTTCCCAAATTTCATTCCCACAACTGGAATGCCTTGCACTTCATCACGTCCCACCCAAAGCAGGTTTTCCGTTCAGGATCCCCATGGAAGGAACTCCCATCGGGACATTTCATTTCAGGAGCTCATGGGCTGCAGTGGTTTTTGTTTGCGGTTTCATGAGTCCTCATGGGCTGGCTCTCAGGCTGCGGTTGCAGTAACGGGCAAAACACGGCGCCTCCCAACGTGTCACCGGACAGGAAACGCTGTTGCCTTTGACAGTAATTCACACTTTTAAAAAAGAGGCATCAAACTAAGGTGCTTTGTAGAAGCAGGGGCCTCTCCCCGCTGCCTGCAGGCAAGACTCAAGCTCTGGATTTGATGCTTTCAGCCATCCCCTCATCCAGGTGGAGGCAGTGTGAATGTTCCCCTCTGTGACAATTTGGGTGCTACGGAATGGCTTAAGCTCTCCTCCCCCCCATCTCCATTCAGCGATGCAATACGAAAAAAAAAACGCTCTCATGCAGTGATCAATGAATTGGTGAAGTCCCCTTTTTCCTTACTACAACCTACGCTGCTGTTGCCTTCCAGCCAGGAGCGGGAGCTGCCCGTGCCACCAGTCTGTCGTAGCTCTGCTTGGGGTTTCCGTGTCACCCCAACGCCAGCTTTTCCACAGAGGGGGGCTCCCGCCCTTGAAGGGTTCTCCGTGGCATTGCTGGCGCTGGGTTTTGTTTTGTTTTTTATTTTTTTTTTCAATCGTTCGTTCGGTTTGGTTTTCCTTTACTCTGTGTGACTTGCCGTTGGTTTTTATTCTTCTCTTCCGTGCATGCCGCCCGTGTCTTTAGCCAGCGTTATGTGGAGCTGCTCTCCTCGTCCTGGCAGCAGTCGCCATCCTCTCACCCCACTTTCTCCCCCCCTGCTGCTTCGATTTGTGTGAGGAATCACTTGCTGTCGGTCTTTCTTCCCTCAGGCACTTCCTGTTTAAACCTGGAGGCACTTCTCCCCTTTTTTGTACCACGTCGCCGGGATATCCCCTGACGTCCAGCACTGTGTACTCACCTCCCCCTAGGCCCCTTCCTAGAAGTACCTTCTCTAGGCCTGCCTTTAACCTGAAGAAACCCTATAAGTACTGTAACTGGAAATGCGCAGCCCTGAGTGCCATTGTCATCTCAGTCACACTGGTGATCCTCCTGGCGTATTTCATAGGTAAGCCTATTTCTGGTTTTATTTTCTTTTTTTTTTTTTTTCTGCTTTTCTTTCCTTTCTCTACAAATTCACACCTGATGCAAACGCTTGGGAACCAGAGGGTCAAACTCATGATACGCGGTAATGGGGAGATAAGGCCTCTGCTGACTTAATTGAGGTTGAAGTGCTATGGCAGGGAGCAATATTTGACCTAACACGCATAACGGAGCCAGAAGGGCTTAGCAGAGTGTAAGTCATACGTTGTCCTCCCTTTAAACCGAGCGGACTGCTCGCTTTCTGCAGAGAAAAGCATAACTGGAGTGAGACAAACCCACCAGGTTGTCTAAAACCAACCAGAAAATTCTGATTCAAGCAGGCAGTGAGGTGCATGTCCTAACCACGGCCGCATCCAGGTCAGTGGGAATTCTCTGCCATTGACTGACAGGGTCAGAACCCAAATCCTAACACATTTTATTCTACCTTTTCATGACACTTCCCATTCATTTAAGCAACTATGCTGAAATTCTCAGGGTTGCGTGAAGGAATAGGGAAGGACTGAGTTTAGCTTGTGGTCCAACAGAGCCTGTTTAAGTAGGGGGGATTGGGGACAATTTGCTATTTGGGTGGAGAAGCATTTTTTTTTTCTTGAGCTGTGCATGATCTGAATTTATGGGCTGTCAGCCTTCATTATGAAAGTAATTGAAATGTTAGAAGTGAAAATTGTATTTTGCCTTCCGTAAACTTGGGGTGTTAATGTTACTTTTCCTCAGTCAGAGCTGATATTTGTCTTACAAATGTCTTAGAAAGGTCCGTTCCTCCACTCCTCTTGTAAGCTGTCAGCGGTGCAAACTCGAGTTGTCAGACACTTGGAGATGTGATCATAGGTAACAATGCCCGGGTCTCATGGCGCAAATGAGTCTTTTTGATTTCATAGTGGCTTCCTGTGCACTAATGATCTATAAAAGGTTGTGGTTAGAATTACAAATCTTAGCCTGGATCGAAAGATTTCTGCTTTCATTTCACATGAGTGTAATTAGCACTACCACAAAGGATTGCTTTTACTGTGCTCCTTTTATGTACACTTCCTTAATGACTGATACTTCTCCACTCCTGCCTTGTATCATACTTTGGTCACTTTCATGCCTTCCGTAAGAGGAGCAGAAATGATTAATTAACCAACATTAAATCAGCAGCAGTTTGATGGAATATGCAGTCAATTTTCATCATTTGCTATGTACATTTGGACTCGCCTTTCTCATTTGTCTGGTATTCTCCCCGTGCCCAGAACATGGTTCCTCTGGACATTATCTCAGTGTGTCAGAGGAGTATTGTAACTCAGAACAGCGGTGCCTGTTCATTCTGACGGAGGATGTACGTGCCGTTTGATAGATTAAGAAGAGTTTGGTGGTTTGCCGCTCGCTGTTCCCCTGCTCAAACCCCTTTTTCAGAGTTCTGGAAAGATCAGGCTTTTAAAAACCACAGCTTAATGTAGCTGGAAGGTAGGTCCATTGAGTACTCTCCCTTTTTTTCCCCATTCAGATGAATCCTGTGGCATCCGCTAGGCTCCGTGGCTGGCTGGCGAGGTGCCAGAAATGCTGATCAGGTTGAACTGCTGTAATTATGGGTCATAATTACTAATTTCTAAAGGAACTATCAATTATTAAAAATCAAATTCAATGGTTCAATTCAGCATAAACATATTTAACAAAGGTTGTCTCTACCAGACCCAGCGTTCTAATCAACAAGCAAAAAGGCAGATATTTAATTAGATTTTGATGAAAAATTGTGTTTAATTTCAAGTATAATCAATTATTAATTACTGTAATGAGTGACTCTGGCGGGGTTTACTAATTAACTCATTTAAAAATTATGAATAACCTTTTCATTTGTAATTATTTTCTACATCCTGTCAAGTTGCAGATGAGAATTGTATCACCTAGCCCAAAAGGAAAAAAAAAGAATCAGGGAGTCAAAATGTTTGTGCTTTCACTAAGTTAAGCTTAGATGTTTTGCATTCAGATAAAAACTACACAGTTATTTACTGAACTGATTCATTCTTTAAATAACCTGGTCTGTTTGCAAAACAAGTGGTTGTTTTTCCTACAGTATTTTTTCCCCCTGTTTTTGCTTAGTTGCATTTTCTTACAAATACCTTTTCTCAATTAAGCAGTATCTTGCTCTTTTTGATGCCCCAGGGACCATCTGAGTGGTAAGGTACAACTGATCACAAGCAGGAAGGGCTAACCTATATAACACCCTATCAATGTTAGGAACATTACTTGCCAATGACCATTTTCATCCTGAAAAGCAAACTGAGGTCACTGGGGACACTTCCATTCAACTGCATGGACTTTGGGTCAGGTCACAGGATCCCAGGATCATGGAGTGGCTGGTGGTGTCGGGCAGCTGCGGGTCCCTGTGGTGCCAGCCCTGCTCCAGCAGGGCCACCCCGAGCAGGGGGCCCAGCCCCACATCCAGGCAGCTGCTGGAGATCCCCAAGGAGGAGCCCCCAGCCCCTCTCTGGTCCCATGGCAGTGGTATAGATTTTCCTCTTTTTTTTTTTCTTTATACACTGATCAGTTCATGGAAATACTTCAGATTAATGTCTAGGGCTTCACAGAATCATACATATCCAATCCTCTGTATAAATATTAAAAATCACCCATTGAAGTCCTTACCTATCTATACAAGGGAACGGAGCAAGGGCTTCCAGAATTCTGCTCATGCCAATCCTTTTTGTGTGACAGATGCTCAGGCACAACTGTCATGGGTGGCCATCTGAGGCAGGCAGAGCTGCATGTAAACAACGAGGCATTTGGTTGTTTCTCAGTTTCTTTGCTGAAGACAGTTCATCTTTTAAATTCATCTGAAACACTTGCTAAATCGTTTGTTTAAGGCTGAAAGCCAGAGTTTCTGTATTTTTAAGACTTTTACATAGAATCATAAAAAGGTTTGGGTTGGAAGGGAACTTAAAGCCCCCCTAATTCCACCCCTTGCCATGGGCAGGGACGTGTCCCCCCAGCCCAGGCTGCCCCCAGCCCCAGTCAGACTTGGGCCTTGGGCACTGCCAGGGCTGGGGCACCCCCAGCTCCTCTGGGCAGCCTGGGCCAGGCCCTCAGCGCCCTCAGAGGGCAGAATTTCTTCCCAAGGCCTCCCCGAAGCCTCCCCCCTGCCAGGCTCCAGCCGCTGCCCCTCGTCCTGTCCCCCCAGCCCTGACCAAGAGTCCCTCCCCAGCTTTCCTCTAGGCCCCATTTAGGTACTGGAATGCCTCTGTAAGGTCTTCCCGGGGCCTTCTCTTCCCCAGGCCCACCACCCCCAGCTCTCTCAGCCTGGCCCCACAGCAGTGTCCAGCTTCTCACCCCAAACCACCCCCAGGTCCCTCTCCTCAGGGCTGCTCTCCAGCCATTCTCTGCCCAGCCCGGATTTGGGCTTGGGATTTGGGCAGGACCTTGAACTTGTCCTTTTGAACTTCATCAGGTTCACACAGCCCCACCTCTTGTCCAGGTCCCTCTGGATGTGAGCTGGAGGGGCTGGATGCAACCAATCACCTCCTTATTTTCCATGTGCGTTTTTACTTAGATATATATATTTTTAATAGTCTGAGGTTCACTAATCTTGCTGGGCTTTTTCAAAGAGGAGAGAAGGAATAAACAGAAGTCCCTGGAAACTGAGCGGCTGGTATCATGTCAACGTGGTGATCAAGCTTGACGCTTTTGCAGGTCTGAGTCACTGGTCTTGAAAGATAATGACAAACAAAATATAACAGAATGTATTAAGCACCAGAAGTGGGTTTTCATTTGAATTAACCACTTTTTGATTGACTTGTTGCCACCTTTTCAAATATTCAGAGACACACGGTACGGCGGCAGCAACAATACACGTTGAGGTTTGGTGCACACACAGTTTCTGCAAATCCCAGGAGCTCTACAGTCACTTGCCTCGTGGGGTGAGAACAGCAAAGAGAAAAGCAGTGGCAGGTCGGGGCTGTAACATTAAAACGGCAGGGACGGCCCCGCTGGAGCCACTGAAATGAAAGGCCTCTTTAAGCAGCTTGTAACTGACCTGCAAATTTGCTGTTCCAGGAGGTCGGGAAGAGACATCGCTTTAAAATTAAATCATCCATTTTAGGATTTGTCCCTTCTATCGACATTCAAACGAGGAAAAAATTCCTGGCTTTTGCTGGGATGGGAAGGCGTCTGTATGGTACGGAGCTCTGCCTTGGAGGGACAATTTAGAGACAGAGATAATACCATGAGGTGTGTTGCTATCTGAATACTTTGTCTGCACTTTCTGTACCTGGTGGATGCCAGGCCTGATAACACAGCTCTGTAAGGAGTCTCTGACATTTCTGCTTTGCTTGGGAGGAAGATTTCTGAGTTCAGAAATAGAAAAGACCTGTTTGATTGTCCAGATCTCCATGCCCAGCAGCTGTTTGGCTAGATCCGCGGAACAGTTTCTAAATGAATTAGTGATGGAGAATAGTTTCTTTCTTCTGAAACAGAAGGTATTATCCTCTGCCTGATGTACATTCCAGACGAGATGGGAGCACGATTTGATGTAGTTAGGCGCTTGCAATTTTCCTATACTTAAGCATGTGTTGCGGTTGCATTGCATGAACAGCAAGAAAGATGGACATTTGATTTAAATTAAAGTTAGGGCTGGAAAACACATTATGAAGCCAAAACAGCCATTTGCTTGATTGGAGTCAGGTCTCCTCTCGTCTGAACTCCGTACAGACGCAGCTTCCCTTCAAGAACAGCATTGCTTGCTATAGGCAAAATGCTTTGACAGTAAAACGGTGCTAGAGCTATGATGTGTTTATAAAGTGCCTTTCCTTTCGTTGTCTGAAGATCACCCTGAAAGCTAACTTCAGCTGAGTTTCTCTCTGATTCTTTGATGATATGTAGTAAACCCAATTTAAAGCAGCTCTCCAAAGCTCTTAGCTATCTAACTGGTTAGCTGTGGATGTGTAACATAGCAATTACTGTGGTGTTCACATGCCACTTGAGATCAGTAGGAAA